GATGCGCGAAATTAGTCAGAAACACAACAACCACGATTCTCAGTCACATAACATCTTACTTCGCTACCTAATCGTATAGTCGTATTAACGGATGTTTCGCCGAAGAAAAGAAGACTACTGGTTCAACGATAATTTATTTAGTTTTTTTTAAGATCGTGAACATCTGTGTCTATAGTCACGGAAGAATCACAACTTCGAGGAAACCACCAATCGTAGACTACAACCCGAAACGTTATTCTTCCTAATTAATGTCTTACCTTTAACTAGGATTGTTTGTACACTCACCAGATCACCGTATTTTATCCGCTTTGAAAACCGTTTTGCAACCCATCGAATGGATGTTAACACTGGCTTTATTTCGGGTAGTCCTAGTTCATTTATTGCGATCTAGTACATCAAGCAATAGTAAGCATAAGTAACACTTACCCTTAAGGAATCCAGGTTCTTTTAGTTCCCCCAAAATATACACAAGCACAACAGATTCATACTTTTCATGCGGCTCAACCTTATTTGGCTTAGATTCTCTCACAATAAATTTTTTTAAATGATAGCAGACACATGTGTCTGCCAAACATCTTCATGTGCACAATTTCAAAACCCTCTACACAGTACTAATTCATTAACAGCTGAAAACCAACTAAAACACTGAAAGCCGCATGAATGCAAGGTATGAAAACAATTACACCGAAATGAATGCACTGGCCTGGTAGTGAAAATTTTCGAAACCAAAGAAATAATTCATTTTAACAGCAACGGAAACAAAAATTGAGGTGAAACGCAACATTTGTGAACACTACGCAACAAGATAAGTCGTGTATGACGGCAGGATAAACGGAACAACAAACGCGTAGACGAACAGCTACGGAACTGCAATCCAACATGGCCGACTGATATGGACGAAAATGACCTTCGAGCGTCTCACTCCACCAATGACCTTGATAAGTGACGGATAATTTCAGCCCGTCAGGCTGGACTTATTCGTCACGTACTCTAGAAGTTACGTTTGGAATTTTTTTTGCCAATAATTTTTAATAAAATTGTATTATATGTTATCTAGATTGAGGGAAATTCCCACTTTTTGGCTGGTTATGCTGGTGTCCGCCTCATGTGATCTGACTGCGACACACTTTTAGCATATTGGTTGCAATGATTAGTGTTTCAGATGGAATGTATCAAAATGTCGGTGTAATGAGGGAGATAGGATAGTTAGAGGGTAATGCCATTTACACCACTCATTTACTCCATGTAGAAGCTGCATCTTTCGGCATAGTATCATTCAATGAAGACTTCATGTCTCAGGATATCAGTACAGCCTATTTTCGTGTGAAGAACAGTCTTTTTTGACAAAATAATTCTCTCAATACTTGGAAATCACCTGCAAATGTTATCAGAATCGTTGGTGGGAACCTAAGTTGTCATTTAGATGTGCTTTTCACTTTATCTGTGGTTGGACAGGAATTATGGTAAGTTGAAAGGTTATCTCTAAATGGATTTCATATATATTGGCACTGGTTGGTGCAGTGTGCTATGGGTTATGTTAATTAAATGTACAAAAATATCTCAACTATAATAATATTGTGCCATTGTGTACTAAGCTGACTGATAGGATAACAAACGAAGGTGGTTACTAGAACTGAATCTATTCAGCTTTATTATCATTAATATGAATTTATTCTCTTTTACAATTTCCACTGACTGTATACTTAATGCTACAATATTTTTGATCACCAATAGTGGAGATGAATTTCTCCTGAGATTTCCATTTAGACAAAGCAGTACAGATGCTCTATGACGATTGAATTTTCTAGTTTGCATTATATGACATTATTATCCTCATCAACACAACAGGTCTGTGTACTTTACAATAGTTGAAGTGTTTCACTATGTTGTTAGCACTGTGCATAGCTGTCTAGAGTTGAGGCATGTTCAGCTTATATTTGATGCCTATAGTCTCCTAAATGTGAAAATGTGATTTCTGTAGGATTCACAAAACCTTGTGGACTAGACATTACTGAGATTGTGGATTAACTTCTAAGTTATACACTTGCAATACTTCATTTCATGTAAAAGTGTTTAGTGTGAAGTTGATCTGCAAGTAAGCTTGATGAGAGAATGACGCCTCAATAGTATGAATGTTTCGGAGATTGCCTTGAAATTTGCATATAGTCCTCAAATGCAGGAAAACATATGATGTATATTTATGTATACGGCGTCAACATAAATATCAGCTGTAGACTACAAATACATTTATCTCCCTGAGATAATACTTAGTTTTAACAGAATGATTGTATTCATATTGTATGCTAATATGTAGAATTATCTCTTGTTAACTTCATGTTATGCTAGTTCTAACATGTACTTTATTTTTTCCAGGTATACGGAGGTTGTCGAATATGAAATCAGCGGAAACATCATTCGGTCAAACTAACTTTATTACCCTTCATCAGAATTTTCTTTTGTAAATTAATCAAATGTTTAATATACTCTTGATTACTTCTTCCTGTAGACTTCTTCAATTCCTCGCTATACAATGTGCTTTTGTAATAAGTGAATTAGGAATAATAAACGCTAAGCTTAGTTAGTGGGATGGAAATTCACTGTAGTATTATGAGAATGTTACTTTAGTCATTAGTAGGATTTCGTGTCTGTTTCTACACAATAGCACATTGTAAAAGCTAAGTGGGATTTAGCAAGTTGAATAATAATTCTGTACTGTTGGATACTCTAAAGTCGCCTTATCTAACCAGTTGAAAGTCTGTTTACTGTTAAACGCCAAGTATGTAGTACAAGTAAATGTAGTAACTTAGGCTTGATATCTACTTCACTAATCCGTTAATATGCAGTGACATCATCAAATAGACTGTTCACTTGACGATCAGCTAAGAAACATTTTTTATTTATTTTAATATGCCGTTGAATCATAGGATGTTATCTAGTATCCATCATTTCTGTGATCAAAAACTGCGGTATTTGCATGTCTACTTTATAGATGTTAAATAACCTACGCCTGTATGCATGTAATTACCTCCAGTATTTCCTATTCATTTGGTGTGTGTAAACTAAACAAGTCTTTCATAAATTCTCCCATAAATGCCAAACTTTCTAGTGTTACAAGCGTTAATAAGACCTGCTTCCTTTGTTTCAAATCAAATGAGGTATATACGAACTAAGGGAAAGTTACTCTTACTTAATCTTTAACCCTCACTCAGAGCCTTTAACGATCCCAAACAGTTCTCCTATAAACACAGTAGACGTACTTTAGATGCAGCTGCAGTCTTGCTTCACAACATTTTCTCCAGTATAGACAATGGGGCTAAATTAGGAGTGGGAAACGCTCTTAAACTAAATCCTTCGAAATGTCAGACTGTTATTTTCAGTTTCCGATGTAAACGAAAGTTAGTTGAAGGTGTTAATTCCCATGACCGTTGCAAAATTGATAATAGTTATATGGAAATGAAGTCTGACTTTAAGTATCTCGGACTGACTCATCGCAGCGTGTTGGCCCTAAATGTATGCCACATGCAGGCATAATGTTTATGAGCTAGGTATGCAAATCATGGTAGACGCTTGTACGGTACATTCATTATTTATAAAACTAACTCGCACGTAAGAACTATGGTTTGATCAGTTATACAACGTTTAATACATTTAGACACGATTAACCTACGATGCTTACTTCTATGACGCATTACCTAAAACTACATTAATATAGTTTCCGCTGAAGGTTATCTCCTATAGTTACCACCTTAGTGGGCAACTTAGCGTTATCTTTGAATAACGAAAATTCCGAGAACTTTCTTGGTAAAAACATCGTCCCTTACTCGAAAAAATTAAATATACCCTAGTCTCCACAAAAACGTTCAGAAGTATTCATCCTATCACCGCAAACGACTCACTATTTGCAGCCACTTAAAAAGTAAAAATAAATTTATCGATGGCAGCGTGCTTATGATTTCTAGATATCATAATGTACCATGAAGAAAACGCTATATCCATGCCGTTATAAGTCAGATGCGCGAAATTAGTCAGAAACACAACAACCACGATTCTCAGTCACATAACATCTTACTTCGCTACCTAATCGTATAGTCGTATTAACGGATGTTTCGCCGAAGAAAAGAAGACTACTGGTTCAACGATAATTTATTTAGTTTTTTTTAAGATCGTGAACATCTGTGTCTATAGTCACGGAAGAATCACAACTTCGAGGAAACCACCAATCGTAGACTACAACCCGAAACGTTATTCTTCCTAATTAATGTCTTACCTTTAACTAGGATTGTTTGTACACTCACCAGATCACCGTATTTTATCCGCTTTGAAAACCGTTTTGCAACCCATCGAATGGATGTTAACACTGGCTTTATTTCGGGTAGTCCTAGTTCATTTATTGCGATCTAGTACATCAAGCAATAGTAAGCATAAGTAACACTTACCCTTAAGGAATCCAGGTTCTTTTAGTTCCCCCAAAATATACACAAGCACAACAGATTCATACTTTTCATGCGGCTCAACCTTATTTGGCTTAGATTCTCTCACAATAAATTTTTTTAAATGATAGCAGACACATGTGTCTGCCAAACATCTTCATGTGCACAATTTCAAAACCCTCTACACAGTACTAATTCATTAACAGCTGAAAACCAACTAAAACACTGAAAGCCGCATGAATGCAAGGTATGAAAACAATTACACCGAAATGAATGCACTGGCCTGGTAGTGAAAATTTTCGAAACCAAAGAAATAATTCATTTTAACAGCAACGGAAACAAAAATTGAGGTGAAACGCAACATTTGTGAACACTACGCAACAAGATAAGTCGTGTATGACGGCAGGATAAACGGAACAACAAACGCGTAGACGAACAGCTACGGAACTGCAATCCAACATGGCCGACTGATATGGACGAAAATGACCTTCGAGCGTCTCACTCCACCAATGACCTTGATAAGTGACGGATAATTTCAGCCCGTCATGCAAACATATATTTGGACGTAGCATACACTAGCGCCACAATTAGATTTTTCAAGGTCAGAATAAGAATGCAGGCATGTCTATGTACTTCAATGTGAGAGTTCATGGAAAAGTGTGTTTTCGAGCATATTTAACGGCGCACATCGCCAACACCAGAAATCTTTGTAGAATACCCTAAAATGTAACCGAAATCGCGTGTAGATTTTGTCATACTGTGAACATTTATAATTATAAATGTTCACAGTATGACAAAATGACACATATTAATATGTGTCGAATTCGGATTTTCACGTTGGGTGGTCAGTTACTGGAACTACTAACTTGACCAAGTCCTAATAACTTCATTGATGAACCTTTTCAAAAGAAATAGGATTTCCTCAGATGTACATATTACAGTGATCAACACGGTGTAGCTGCCTATCATCTAGAAGATAACATCTGTTACCTGAACCTCACCTTATTTGATGAAGTAAGATAACTTGAGGGTTTCTGAGGGTGATTTAGGGGCAGATGAAAGGGAATGCACTAAAATTCCTCCGAACTCTCAAATCGATTTTCAAATACTGCAAAGTTAACCCTAGATAGGGTAATTGGGCGTTTAAGAAAAATGTTTAGATATTCCTAGAATCATCACTATCTCACTCCTTTGTATATATACTATTGCTACTTACAGTAAGGTTCTGTTCAATGTGCCATTCTCAACAGGTTTGGCACATCTAATCGTTTTTATACCTATTACGGTGGTTATGACTTCCATATATAGTTGCGTAATTTCTTGATCATTGCCCCGTTCTAGGTATTATGATGTGTGTACTCATGTCTATTAACTGGCGTAGGTTCACTTTACTTTACAAATATCCTTTAGGAATATTTTCGGATTGAATTCAGAGTTCCCAAATAAATTTGGGGGGAAATTTCCTGGTTTTAGGTTTTTCTTTGGGGTATTTAGGGGACATTTTTGGGGAGAAATGTCGCATTGCACCAGAATTTTACAAAAGTGTCTTATATAAGTTGCCTCAAAATTTTTTATTTGGGTTAATCCGAAGATATCAGTGAATCTTAGTATGGCAAAGTATGCGAAGAATAAAGACGCATAGAATAAAAGCAGCAAATCAGACTCATTTTTATAAGCAATAAATCCACTGTACTGTTGGGTCTCTATGTGTACATATAGAACCGTTGTCTTCAAGTCATTCAGTAAAGTCTAAGAAAAACAGAGTTAATTAGTCCTCACTTCGTTAGGCTTTTGTTTACAGTTGCTTGTAGATATCTCGAAGTAGTTAAGGATATGCTTCATTGTTCTATACTTCCTTCAGCAATCATTTCTTGATTTTGATGTTTATTCAGCATGCTAATTGGTTGGAAATTCGCTTTACAGTGTACACCTGGTTGTTAGTTTATCTTATCATGGTCATCATAAATCTCCTTTGGCAGTTAGCATTTTCCTGTTGTAGGGAATTGGTGTTCTTTAAGCAAATAAAGTGTAAAGACTTATTACCGTCGGTTAATTTAGAAAGTCTCTTTCCAATCACAGTAAAAAACTTTTGAAGATAACCTCTGAGCCTGAAGTGTCACTAAAGTCCAACACCGATATTAGAAAATACCTCCACCTAAGTTGTAATTTAAATTTATTCTCTTTTTCATCGTAAAGTCAATTTCTGAATAAAGGTAGTGACTAGTACCTGAACATATTATCCAGGATAAAATTATGTAGTTACAAATTTTGAGCGCTTGAGTGATTCAAAAGTGATATGGAATATGCCACCTAGGTACGCATCACTTCAATATATTTGTAAGTTAGATTTGCATGAAGATATTATGTTCAACTCGGTATTAAATGCCAAATATGTATGGAATCGTTTATGATCTCACCAGGATCTATGTAAACTCTTTTCATTTTGCTTTTCCAGATATCTGTTGTTAGGCGAAGTTTTGGAAATTGTTATATTCAACGCACTTCATTTAAAAAAGTCTTGTGTGGATATTTCAGAGTTCACATCCGTGTCTCATGAAATCAAACAATGGCTTTGAACAAATATATGCACCATCGTAATATTTACAAGCACAAAAGGCCTAATTTTAAAGAATTAGCTGCAGAATATGACTTTTTTAATGCTGTAGCTGAAAAAGATGAATGCGGTCGAGTCCAGCTTGATTTTAGAGTACCACTTCATTTGGCTGCATTATCAAAAGCCTTATTACTTAAAGATTTTAAATTAAACGTGGAATTCCCAGGTGATCGTCTGATACCAACTGTTCCGCTTCGTTTAAACTATATTCTTTGGTTAGAAGATTTATTAAAAGGTAAGATTTTTTTTTATATATTTCTGTTTTATATGCTTAACAATATAGATCTTCAAAAATTTTCAGAGCCTATAAAAATTTTGGATATTGGAGTTGGAGCGTCATGCATTTATCCATTATTGGGTGCAAGAAAAAACTCATGGAAATTTTTTGGCACTGAAACTGATTTGAGAAATTTTTCTCTGGCCAAGGAGAATGTGGATAGAAATCATATGAGTGATGATATTAAATGTATGTGAAGTTTTAATATGAATTATTTATCATTTTTAGTCCTTGGTTATAGAACTTAAGTACTGTCTTTCAGTTTTACTTCATCATTTGAAAGTGAATGATTTATAGGGCGTTTTTAGTTTACTTTTTTCATTTTAGCAATTTTAATTCATTCATCTTTGTTCCGCCATTTTCCGTTGTATACTGTAAACGTGTGACTTATTTGTGTATTGGTTTGACTTCCAATCACTTGCTTGTGTGACGAAATAACAAACATCCTTGCTCTCGTTTGGGAAACTCGACAGTACAGTTAATTCCTCCTAAGTCGGTGTGACTTGTCCATTCCGTAATAAACTATAATTTAAAGATTTTAGTATTGTACCCACAGTTTTTCTTCCATTCCTTTGCCTCCCGCGTGGAACACAAGGTTTTAGGCTTGAGCTCTGAAGTTTTATTAGCCGTCGTGTTGTTTTCATAAGGTAGTGTTGTTAGCCTTGCACCTAATCTTCCCGTTTTACTGGGATCCGTTCCAGCGTTGGAGGTTTAAGGGATGTGTCGCCCGGCCGTTGAACTCCGGACCATATACCCGGTTGGTGAGCATTATACCAGTGAACCAACAACACATACTACTCTCACCTAAGTCACCTATATGTAGCAACCATACTAATGATTTTATCTTTCTCTATGGTTTTATCGTTAGCACAATTACAGTAAGGTAATGCTATATGCTTCAGGTATATTATACAAATTCTCTCTCTCTCTCTCTCTGTATATATATATATATATATATATATATATATATATATAAAAGCAATACTGATTTCAGTGCTCTTCGCTTTTGTCTTTTCTTTATAATATTAGAGAATTTCCTTCTCATTTCCTTTTTTTCTCGCTTTAGTGTTTCATATTGCTGAGAATTCCTCATCGTTAGATGCTGTCTTTGGTTCAAATAATAACGGAAAAGAGTCTGGCAGTACAACTTATTTACATGCTGTTATGGCGAATCCACCATTTTTCAGTGATGCATCAGATGCAGTCGGTTCAAAGACTTGTCGATCCTTGAGTAGACCTCCACCGAAAACAGTTTCATCTGCTGCTAGACACGAAAGTCAAACAACCGGTGGTGAAGTTTACTATTGTATGCGATTAATCCGTGATAGTCTGCGGTATTCAACTCGCGTTGGGTATGTAACTTATTACTGCTAATATCTTTATTATTATTATTACTATTTTTATTCACACTAATCAATATTTAAACCACTGTTCTTATTACAGATATCCTCTAACAATAAAGATATCCGTCGTTCTTCATTGATGTCACTTTGAATAGTTAAAGGTGTTAGACAGTTTGATAACGAAACATCATATACCTCTTTATTAGTTAACCTGATTTGATGAAACACACAGTAATACCATATTAGCTACTATTATTCTCTTGGTTTACGAGTGAAACACAGAGCTTCAGCGGCACATACCCATTGCACTGGTTTCTCTGAAATCAATTTCTACGATCGCCCATAAGCTATCACTTTCTTGTCGTACGATCTCTATTGTGCCCTTGGACTCAAAACTTGTAATTTTTGTGATTATTGCTTGATTCCACACATTACTTTGGTACAACTATGGAATTATAAGCATGTGATATCGGCAGCCCAAATTTAGCAGGCCGACTATTGATATCAGGTGTGCGTCGGCCGGGGATCGAACCCCAGACCATGTGCATGGTCGGCAAGCGTCCTTGTCCCTTTGCCACCGGCGCACCTGTTTGGGTTCCACTTGATGATCTGCCTAGTGCGTGTCGTCACTCAGTCGGTCTTCTCAGCGTATATCGAATCCATCTCAATCTCCTGCCTATTTATTTGGCAGTAGTCTCTTGGTTAGCTGCTAGAGGTGATTTCTACTTTCTTTCTGTCAGGCCTATCTGACCTTCAGTGCCAATCGAAGTCAGGTGTCAATGAAAATCTCGAACCTGTTCGAATTGTTTTTCGTGACGCATCAAGTCTCTGAAAGTTCCGGAGACAGTGACTTGACACTCATGTTGAAAATTCGAATGTTATTCCTTATGCATATTTCCACAGTGATTTCAGAGTAACTAAGGTTTGTCTTGCTTTTCCGATTCTGTGCGTCGGTGGCACAGTGGTTAGGACTCTCTCCGACCATGCACATGGTCCGAGGTTCGATCCCTGCCGACGCACACCTGATATCTATGGTCGGCCTGCAAAATTTGGGCTACCGATATCCATGCTGAAAATTCCATACTTGTACCAAAAATACAGTGTGGAATCAAGCTGTAATCAAAAATCAAAAATAAATAAAAAAATAAACCTTATTCCTGTGTCTATTGTAATTGAAACGATGCCGCTTTTATAAGTGTAAGAGGTAATTTCCTTTAGATTGCTTTCAGTGATGGTAATTGGTGCCTGTTATTTCCTTGAAATCGCGTCTTCGTTGCCTCCTTTGCCAACTTGTTGATTTTCAACTATAGATCTCCAAGTTCTTGAAGTCCAAATCTCCCAGTGTCTTTTCATCGATCCAATTTATTTTTACGAGTTGATCACGGATTGATATCAGTTAGAAAACCATTAAAAACCAGAGAGTACTAAACAGCTGTTTCATCCTAGTTTGGGAATCATCTCAGTACGCACCGACCACAGGAGGTCCGAGCCCAGGACCTTCCGGTGACAAGGCCAGCTCGTATACTATTCAGCCACTGGGACCCGATTCAATGGCTCATGAATTATAACTTCTACGAATTGTTGCAATTCAGCCTACATATGTTTGCTGCTTTTCTGAATTTAGCTCGTTCTAGATATCATATATTATTTACTAGATGTCAATTGGAGTACAGTTCCACATAATCATGTCGAGATAATTGCATTACTTTCTTTGGTTTTCATTGCTAGTAAAACTTTCCAAATATTCACAATGTTTTTCTTTTACCAAACACTTATAAATTGTCTATTGTTTGTCTAATTGGATCTAAATGATGGTGTACATCTAGCGGATGAATCCTAGATAGGACGCAACACATGTCCTGGAGTCCATTTATTAACCTCTATCTACCAAATCCTGACTGTGTGTATATTTGTTAAATTGTTCTGCGATTCGACGTGAATAAAGTCTCAGTAAATCTATTTTCCTTCCCATTTAACTATAATGGATTTAATAATCTCACTGTAAAGCGGTAATGCAAGACAGAGGTTTTGCACTGAAATATCTGGGTTTTCCTTTTATTTAGGATCTACCGTTCTATACTTAATTTGATCATTATTGACAATATACATTTAGTACATTGTAGACACAAAGAGATGCACCGAGTGAGCACGTGATTGTAATCTCTCATTCATTGTTATTTCATATTTTGTGTGAAGGCTAGTTTACTGAAGGAGGTAGTTGTCTTAAGGGACCAGACCTCTAACCTTTGACTTGAAGTCTGATTCACAAGGCACGGTGTCAAGAACTACATTCTCATGGTTTTCGGTGACTAAAACAGGCTTATTCTCCATTCGATCCTTTCGGATTCTTCAGTCCATGTACACTACAGGTTTTTCAGCTGTCCTGGTAGTAGATCTGCATGTCCACCTAGCTAAATTCTTGTATTCCGACAAACTTGCTTTAGTTTAACTGACTACGTTGACTGACCCTACCTATTCATAATTTTAGCATTATATTTAATAAATTAAATTACCTGTCTATAACCGTAACATCCTGTGGCATCAATAGCGTCTTTTTAATTGGTGAATGGGCACAAAGCCAACTCCACAATCACAGATGTCTTAAAGACAGTGCGTAATTACAAAACAAGGGGGAGAAGTTGCTGTCCATAATTACTTATTTAACAGCAGATACAGCAGGTCGGAAGTGGGGACAAATACCCGCCGATGATATTCGCTACTGGTCGCACCGTGTCGTGAATTGGCAGAAGTTGGAATTCATGGGTTGGTCATTGGATCGGGTCCCAGTGACTTAATGGTCTATGAGCTCGCTAGCCTTGTAACCGGAAGGTCCTGGGTTCGAACCTTGGTGGTGGCTGCTTGCTTCTGAAGAGTCCCAAACTAGGACGAAACTGTTGTCCAGTACTCCCAGGTTTTCTAATGGTCTTCTAACTGATGTCAATTTATGATGAAATCATGAAGCTTATTTAACATTTAGCTGTTGTTCAGTTGACAGAACTTAGTTGGAAAAGAGTTAGGGGTAGTCAAATCAAAGCCAGCGTCGGTGGCACAGCGGTTAGGACGCTCGCCGACCATGCACATGGTGTGGAGTTCGATCCCGGCCGATGCACTCCTTTACCTCGCTAAGCCAGAAATAAAAAGCTGGTAAAGAGGAAAGGTTAGGCATGAGGCTAGCAACCCCATCCTGTATAAATAAACACTGCTACAGAAACTTCAAGCCTCTATCTTGAAGCCTTATGTTCCATTGGGAACGTGAAGGAATTTTAAAAAATCAAAGCCTGGAACTAAATCCATGAGGTCTTTGGCAGTTCGTTGGTTTGAGACAGCCACGTCGGTAGGCGTAGATTGCCCCTGGCTGAGGTTTTCGGGGTGCTGGGAACCAATATGTAGAGACTGTTGGTGGTGATGTGGTTGAAAATCGTTGTCAATAGTGTAGGTTCACTAACTTCATATGAACTCTCTGGTCTGTTAGATCCTCATGTTTCTCTATGTAATTATTCTTTTTTGCCTATATTTCTGCTCTTTAGAGTTATTTTGAATATCATTTTCCATTTTTTTTACCCTTTTGTGCTACATAGAATGTTAGAACAAGACATATAAGCGAACAATATTGTTTTCAATTAGATCTTCTTCAGGCTTTACTCGAATTTACATATATATATATATATATATATATATATATATATATATATATATATTTAACCAATGACGGTGATTTAGTGGATCAAATAATAATCGTAATCATAATAATAATAGTAATAATAATGTGGTAAATGTTTTGAACGAAGTTAATAACGATGATTATAATAATAACAAAATATTGTTAATAAGGCTTATATAGGTGATAAGAATAACAAAGTTAGTATATGCATATATGTAGACAATTCAATAAATAAATAAATTAGGTCAAATCAAATGGAACGATAATCAGAGTTTAAATAAATATCATAAAAGTACGAAGGAGAGGGATGATAAGAAAGGGTGGGAGGGTTTTGAATAGAATTCACCTAGGCCAAGGGAGAGACAAAGGTAGAACAAATTTCTTTTGTATACAAAGACTAGGATTGTTCTCTCGAATTCCCATAGCTTCGGCTAAGTGTAAAAGACGGGTTCTGATTCCGTTCGAAAGACTTGATGAAATGTGGTAAATAACTTTGAAAGCACTATTTTTGTCCACTTGGTGACCATTATCAATCAAATGAGCCGAAATAGAACTTCGTATGGATTTTATTTGACCTTTTCCGAACCATGAAGGAAGATGCTCATAATTGCGTTTGTTAAGCTGTCTAGTTGTTCAGCCTATATAGCTTTATAGAAACATATCGAAACATAGAATGTGGCAATTCCCACTGTAGCATTTCTTTGCAGAGTACTATGTTAAAGCGTAGTCATTTAATGTTGTTAATTCTTGCATTTTTCTCTTACGAATACGAGTCTGTCCACTAACTTTTGTCTTATGCTATGTGTTTTGTTTGTTTTCTTTTGTCATTTTTAGTGTATTCACCATCATGTTGGGTAAAAAGTCAAGTGTACCTGTAGTGCGGCGAATATTGCACAAGTTAAAGATAACACAAATATCTGTATATGAAATGTGTCAAGGACGAATTATGCGATGGGGTGTTGCTTGGACATTTCTTCCCAACTTTCAATTTCCTGTAAGTATTTTACGTGTTTTTTCTTATATCTTTTGTGGCTAGTAGATTCAAGGAAGATGTGGACGGCTATTACCAACTGAATTTCTATGCACACTTAGCTGTAAGCCCTATCTTTTTTTGAGAAGGCCAGGTTGCCTAAACCTTGACAGTTGAGAAAAGGCTGTCTACCTCCGTGACTCCTAGTGATTAGAAGTCGACTGTTTACACTAATGAGCTGCAGGTCAATTGTCCGGAACAGATTTTGCATTTGCCAGGCTAAGAGCCATACTTATCGTGTGAGGGACTGGTGATACTAACCAGTTGTCTAGGCTGCAGTAAATGGAGTGAGATATGGGAACCTGTGACCCATCTCCATCGGCTGAAAACCGATCGCTTAAGCCAATAAGTCACAAAGATCCACCATAAGAACGTCTGCTGTATGCATATTTATTTAGATGTTAAAATATTGGGTTTCCTAAAAATAGTCAATTTCTGTTGTTGCTTGTCAAGCCAATCTCAGATAGCCGTTAGTGAACACAACAGTATTTTATATGCTGTCTTGTTTTAGACAACTCTGGTTATATTATGCTGATTGAGGTAACTAGTATTACATCCAGTGATAATGTATTAATTCGACCAAATATCGAAACTATATACTACTCATTGACTGAGGTGGGTAGTCTCATACCTCTTACATCAACCAGCGGAGCTTACTAGCCAGCCAACCAGATCGAAGTTATGTAAATGAAGAGACGGTTGTAAAATTTCACTACAAACTGTGTGTGAAATTTACAAGTGGTTAATTTGGTTTAGTGTATTATTATTATTATTATCATTATTATTATTATTTTGCCAAAGTAGAACTAGCCAAAAGTCGAATATGGTTCGAACTGATTCGGCTTTCTAAGCCGATTCGAACCTAGTACATTACTGATGATCTTGGCTGCAAACAAACACAATAGCAATCCGGGGATTAGAACACTTCAATGATCTGACTGGTTAGCAAGTACTGTTGGTTGATGTGACAGCTACTCATCTCGATTAGTCAGTAGTGTAGTGTAGTTTTATGCTTTTATGCTTGTGTTCTTAAGTACCCATGTATTGTATCAAGCATACCACAGATTGTAATCTGGGTTTCCAAAGAAAACTGTGATAAAATTTCACCTCTTCGAATTGTGTGAATGGCGAGTTTGATTTAATACTACCGCTGGTTTTTTGTGGGTTCGATACTAATACTAATCACAGATTACCTTGGACTCCCTCTGACAGAGCCTACAAAAATGAAGATAGAAGACAGACTGGTTGTGTCAGTGGGAACAATATGGTTCTACTTTACAAAAGTATTATTACATTATTATACAAATACTACGTACCTCGGAGAGTTTAGCTGACAAATAACCAATTATTATTGAATAAGGCATTAAGAAGACAAATTTCGCGAGATGATATCGTCATTTCGTAGTTTCTTAACAACCGCTTTACAACTACTAACATGGTTAACAATAATAAAATAAAGTTAATGACAATTACTCAGTTAAATAAAAAAACAAAAGTACATACTAATGACCAATCATATTTAGATAGGTCATGTAATCCATGGTAGGCGAAGGTACACAAAGTTTAATATGTATGTGATCAATCTTAAGTGCTTCCATCACCTTCAATAACCTTGAATTAGAGTTATGTGAAATAATTGTGAAACAGTCATTAATTAATATTGATTTTGTGACCTGACATTCATAAGTGTTTTGCAATAGATGATGCTGGATTTCTATTCAGATTAATCGCATTGGGATTTTCGATATGATTTAGTAGCCAATTTGGAACGTGTTCTTTTCGACGACATTGGAACATTCTACTGGTTCTACCTGTATAGGTGTCACCGCACCCACAGGTGAACTTGTAGATACAGTTTGAAGTAGAGTCCACATAATTTCCTGCTTTAATCGTAGGTACAGGGATCGAAAATGTTCGGCAAATGAGAAAAAGAGATGTGGCGGCGTAGAATGTGCGTTTGATTGCTGACGAAACGATATCATCTCGTGAAATTTGTCTTCTTAATGCCGTATTCAAATTTATCAAAGGGACTAATTGTTTCAATTATTATTGGTTGCATAAGGTCGGGCTTCTAGCTTGTCCAAATATGTGACATCAGCCCATTAGTTTACTTTTACCACTCTGGTCTTATTTATTTAAACACATAAAAACTTGGTACAATATGGCACCAAGAAGGATGCACCACACAATAATAATAAAACAACATATGTCAAAAGAAAAAAAGAAAGAAGAGAAAAAATATCTATAAGTAGAGAACGGATAAAGAACTTCATCTGGAAGGAAAACAGTCATACTTAACAAGTTCAAACAGTATTAGTTAACTATCATCGAGAATGGAAGAAAGAAGGAAATTGCAACACGTGCAGTAGCACGCGATAATTTTCACTGATTGTTTGTCGCTTCATCCAAGGCCTGAGATACTGCCCGGGCGCCCAGACCGAAGCAGGTGGTTTTATTAAGGGACCACCCCCCGAGCCTTTGACTTGGAGTCTAATCCGCAAGGCAGCGGAGCAGCGTCAGGAGCTGTATTCCCATGGCTGCCGGTGACCCATATGGGTTCATACGCCATTTGGTCCGATTGGATTCTGGAGCCCATGTACCCCATGGTAACTGCTTTTAGTTTAACCGCTATTCAAACAACCTTCCTGACATGGTAGGACCTTCAGGGACAGAGTCCCAGCCAGTTTAGCATGTTTGTTCATTACGGTATTCAAGCAGTTATCGGCCGGGTTCTGGTCTAGTCATCTCCAAGCCTGCTTAAACTTTCTTTTAGCGTATTCCTACCAGTCAGAGATAATGCCGAATGAATTCAGCCATGGAAAGAAGATGGATTACGCTTTTAGAGTATTATGTAGGATAGTTCAGTTGATGTGAAATCCAGAGATATAAATGTCAGTATAGACGTGCACAGCTTTACATGGAAATGTATCATTTCAAGTATTTTTGTGAGCTTCAAAGCTTTACAATAGTAAAAGGAATTGAACTCATAGTAAAGAAAATACTAAAGCCCAGAGTAAAATCCAATGAATGTTTGAAACAATTAGTTCCCTTTATGAATGTTGAAAAAAATAATAAAAGCAAGTAATTCATCTTAATTGTTTGGTGTATTTGTGCAACACATTTCTAATAGAGAATAACACTGATGTTCACTTCTCTTTTAAGTGTATCGGTAAAACATGTTTGGAGCGTGTTCTCAAGTTTGTTGAAGCTCTAGCGATTAAGCAGCTTAAACTACCTCTATGTGTTCAACAACAATTCACCATCACATTAAACCTTCCTTGGTTAAATCTGTTTTAATATCAGGACTGATGTACTATTGTCTCCATTCTGTGGCTTATTGATCTGTTTTGTTATTTTGACCTATGTTTACTCTCTCACCTGTTAACGCTTTGTATATATATATATATATATATATATATATATATATATATATATATATATATATATATGTATATATATATGTACGAAGGCTCTTTCGTATAGGGCCTTGGGTTCAAACCCCGTATTAATATCATTATTATTACAACACAAACTTGGTACATTCTAGGCACCAAGATATGCGTCACACAAAATATCATAGTTTTTGCGATGGCTGTGATACCTCCTGAACTTACAGATTGAAGCAAACAGTTGTCTCAAAGAGCCACCCACCGCCGAGCATTTGACATGAAATCTGATTTACAGCATCAGAAGCTGGCATTCCGTGAATCTTGGTGGCTGAAACGGGCTCCCACACGCTGTTCAGTCTTTTCAGATTGTGGAGCCCATGCACCCACCATAGGTTTCTGAATCAGGGTTTTCCAACTCCAGTGAGTAGTGTACCCCTGTGTGTTGTTCATCAGTCGGTTTGGAAGCGTGAGATGCTCACACTCACCCCTTTCACTTTTGTGATGAACAATCCCCACTCACCCCCCTGGGTGAGGACAGTGAATAGGATTTAACTGACAATGGCTATGAATATGTGGCCATATGAGAGTACAATTGTAGAGGAAAAGGGGATTCTACTCAACGCCGAGTGTACCAGATCGCCTCCTGAAGCCCCACTTAATACGGAGGTTTAGATAACCACACAGTATTAAAAGTCCTCAGATATAATAGGTGTGTGCGTCGGTGGCACAACGGTAGAATATTCGTCAACCAGGCGGGTGGTTCAGAGTTCGATCCCCGGCCGACTCACTCCTTTACCTCTCTAAGTTAGTAATAATACTGCTTCCGAAACTTTAAAGCTCTAACTTGAAGCCCCATTTTACAATGGGAACATAAAAAAATAAAACAATAAATAATAATACAATAGGTGTGACTCGCACTACTGACTGTATGGAATTTTAATTAGTTATTTAGTGATATAACTAACATATATGTAAAGGCAATGTGTGGTAATGCTATTCATTCTTGTTTTAGTTACCTGATATCATTGTCTTGATGCCTTTAAATCACCTGATGGAAGAACATTAACAATTTTCGGTAGTATTGATATAAGAAGAGAACCTGAGCACTCCGGTAGAGTATTGTTTCCTTTATTTCCTAGAGGAACATAGGGCTTCAGCCGCACGTCTCTATTGCCTTCGATTCTCTACCAACGTTTTCGCCTGTCTCCATGTGTGCCCATATACTTTTATCTCCTCGTCACATGACCTCCTCCAAGTCACCCTTGGACGACCAACTCGCCGCTTCCCGTTCAGGTTCCATTCTAGGACCTGTCTTGTGATGTCACTTGATGGTTTTCTCAGAGTATGGCCAATCCACCTCCATTTCTCCCTGCATATTTGTTGCACAATCGGTTCCAGGTTGGTTCGCTTTCAGAGATCTCTGTTGATGATCTTTTCTGGAGATCTGATCTTGCGTAGTAGTATTGAGCGAAGACAGCTGTTAATGAAGGTCTGTAGTTCGTTTCAGGTGCTCTTCACGGCGCGACAAGTCTCTGATCCACAAAGTAGCACTTATTTCACATTGGAGTTGAAAATCGGCAACTTATTTTTGATGCTGAGTGCTGTTGACCTCCAGGCAGACTTGAGAGTAGCAAAAGCTTGCCTTGCTTTCTCGACATTGATGCGCTTTTCGATTAGTACGCTACATTTTGCTCAGTTACATAAATAATCCCGTCATAGAAAACTTTTATTTGATATAATGTACACAGTAATACAGTATCACTTATTTACTGACAACATTTCGACTACAATTTATTGGTTATAGTCACTGATATGAAGACACTCACATAAATTCTAAATTTCGTTTGTATAGTACTGGTATTTCTTATCCTTTTGATTATATAGGTAGTAATATTTTACATATATCTTTGGTATCATAGTTGAGTGTTAGATGTAGACTTGATGAACGAATATTCAATGGTCAATGTTTCTCCCCTCCACTTACTTGTATTACTTTGTACAACTATAGGTAGATCTGTCGCACCCTATTGTGTGTGATAGTGTGTTAGTGCGCGTATTACGATTGCTGAGATATTCTTTAAACTATTCATCTTCGGGGGTGCGTCAGGGGCGGAGGTTGGTCAGTAATGCGTCGGTAGCACAGTGGTCAGGACTCTCGCCGACCATGCACATGGTCTGAGGTTCGATCCCCTGCCGGCGCACACCCGATATCAATGATCGGCCTGCAAAATTTGGGCTACCGATATCCATGCTGAAAATTCCATACTTGTACCGAAAATACAGTGTGGAATCAAACTGTAATCGAAAATAAATAAATAAAATTTTAAGTCCAGCTAAATTCTTATATTCCGTTAATCTGACAACCCCCCCCCCACGCCTTATTGATCTAACTGACTTATGCAGTTGACCACACTTAAAGTCATTGTAAGGTAGTTTTGTGGATGATGCTATTTCTTCTGATTGGGTCAACAGGGGTTATTTAGCCTACAAAGAAGTATTTTGAAGTTTTGAAACTACCACATAACATCTTATTTATCCTATTATATTGAAATTTTTATTTTTTATTTTAATGAAGGAATCAGATTTTCGTCGATTGCGTAAATTGGAACGTCCACCTTTGGTACTAGAACTACCAAATCCAGTCACATGTCTTCATGAGAATACAGTGGATGCTCTTCTAGACTGGTTGAGAGCGGAATTTAAGCAATTAGGTGTAAGTTATGCCTAAAATTGGCGAATTACCTATTGCTGTAATGTTGTTTTCTTTTTTTTTGACTTTTAGATAACAATATAAATCAGTGATGAAAAAAAAACTAGGGATTAATTATAGTTGGATGAGTGATGTGTGGAAACAATCGATAGGAAGCGCCATAGGCCCAGCTTTCGAGCATAGGGACATTCATCAGACAGGCAAAGGAACTGTTCTTCCGTAGGATACTCAAACATTTACGTTATGCATTGCTGTTGTGGAAGAAGGCACATAACTGATAACACTTTTGACCCCAGTACTTACTGGGTGATACAGGTTGCAATCTTCGATCCAGTCAGGAGAAGAGGACGCGGCGGGATCTGCTGCTTCGCTGTTGCAAATACGCCTTTCTGACAATAAGTGCCAATAAGCTAGCTAAGGGAATCTAGGTTAGACAGGCTTCCTGTCCACTTGCCCTCTCCACTCGTCGTTTAACATCCATTCAAAGTGCACTATGATACGGAATTTCACCTGCAAACTTAACTGATAGAATTTATTTTTTTAGATCATAAGTTTTCATAGCGATTTGGATGAAATTCAATGTAAATTTCGTCATAAATCAATATCAGTTAGGTTTTTCAATGATATCTCTTGGTTCGCGATCAAAAGTCTCACGATTGAAATTAATTCAAACCCTCACGAGAACGTATTATCTAAATATCAATCTCCAGTTCATCGATGGCTTATGGATGTATATACTGAAGCTGCTGTCGTGGTGAGAAGTTTTGACCAGTAGGGGTGCACAGTGTCAATATGAAGTGGTTGTTCATTAATGACGTAGGCCGGTGACGGATAACGCTATGCTACGAATCGATGAGTGTTAGAACTCATGGGTTAATAAATTTACAGTCCCAATTGCCTCAGTAGTCATAACCTGGATATCTTAGGTTTGATCGTTGGTGGTGGGGTTGTTGTTACATACTGCTGTTTCGTCCCAGCTTTGAAACCCCACCGGGGATTGGATCTAAGACCTTCCAGTTACGAGTTGACCTCCTTAGCCATTCATCAACTGAGATGGAATCCAGTGGCCAGCAAATCAATTTCAATTTCTGCCGATTCGGCCAATCCCACAAGTGAGTATCTGTCCTCATGCCCAGCCCAACATGATGGATACCGTTGGTCATGAATTCTCACTAGAGCTGTAGGCAGCTTCATCATGTATTCCATCACCTAGTGAGCATTAGATTACTTTACAAGTGTTGATTTGAAAGGATTTGATTAATTTCAAATTTGGTCACGAATTGATTTCAGGTGGTGAACTGTTGAAAAGTTTATTTCGTTAATGCGTATTTACTACTATAAGTAGTAGGTGTATATGTTACTTAAAAAATACATAATTTGCATAGATCACATACGCAGTAACCTACTTTACTTGGTAGAAGTGATCCTATTTAGCGTTTTAGTCAAGAATTCTTGGTGACTGCAGATAATATGGTGTATCTAATGGAGAGCAATTCAAGGCATTTAAATGATGTAACGAGAACTGCAGTTGATCCAGGCAGCACTACTGAACTAATGGTTTATTATTTTAGGACTCTGTATCGTCTGGTGAGCTGTAAGCAACCCAAAATAGTTAATATCCTTAGACAATAGAATGGTGAGTATAGCTCATTTCTAAGCACGTGGACACGCATGTATGTCTTTAGGGTGATATGATTCATAAAATAAAGTGTGTTTATATCACAAGGAACTATTTTATTTATTAAAACATGAATTTGGTACATTATATGGACCAAAAAATACGGCAAACAAGATCTCATAGTTTGTATGAGGTTTGAGATACTACCCGGACTCTCAAACCGAAGCAAGTGGTTGTCTTAAGGGGCCTCCCACCCCCACTATCCGGGCTTTTAACTTGGAACCTGATCCACACGACAGTGTAGTTAACGTGAGAAGTTACATTCTCATAGTTGACGGTGTCCAAAACAGATTCATACGCCATTCGATCTGTATGGATTCTTGTCATCGCTGTTCCTCAGCTTCCCTAGGTAAATGTATAAGTCCGGTAGTCCGGGTATAAGCACTAGATGTTCACACTTGCCGTATCACTTTTGTGAGAGACACCCTCCGCCGTAACTTAAAGGGAACATTAGATAGGACTTACCTGACAGAGGCTACTAACTGGTAGGGAGGAAACTGAAGTTCACCCACCTGCTTTCGGCCCTATCAGATCGTTTGTGGAGGCTATCATAGGCTATCTGTTTGTCTTTTTTGATAATATCTAAAATTTTGTAAGGTCTAGGGTATCATTTTTTCGTTCACTTCACCTTCAAAGAAGAGTTTTTGACGATATTTTCTCTCTTTCTTTCCTTTCTTCACCGACTCCCGCAAATCAGATGAAAGTATTAGATCAAAAGAATCGTGCTGAATTGGGCGGTGTACACTTAAATATTACAGCTGATGTAAATACATGGACGCATACTCGACGCAAACGACGTGAAGCTCAACGTCTTCGTATGTTAAATCAAGGAAGTGTAACAACAGAAAACAACAGTGATTCTCCATGCATTGAAAATTCTGCAGAAACTGCTGTCATCGATTCATCAAATCCTACTGCAGGTGATTCTAAAAATCCGTTGAAACGTAATCATAATAATGATTCATTTGAAATGAAAGACATTTTGACAACATCACCACCACCACAACCGCCAACTACAACACCAACAGAAGTTGACATAACTGCCAAGAATGATACTTGTACCACGCCTGAAACAGTCAATCCAACTAAGCGTACACGTCTAGTATTAACTCATGAAGAGATTTGTGATGAAGGTGAAGATGCCTGGGATAATAGTGATCAACAAGAAGATCTTTCAGGGAACAACACAAAAACTGGTGATAATAATAATAACAATAGTAATAGTATTAATCAAAATGGTTACTCTTCAACACCGATAACACATTTAATTCAAGCCAATGTATTTGTTGAATACTTGAACTCAGATTCATTTCATAAAGATATTGACAAATCATCACCCGCATCATTGTCATTGTCTTCAACGGCTGCTTGTTTATTCCCCGATGGGATAGATTTAAGTGATGAAGTTATGCCGTATGCAGAGGATGTCAACAGTATACAAAAGAATGCAAAAAGTAGCCAAGAAAATAAGAAGAATTGTAATAATGCTATTGGTGACAGTGGTGATCATGATGGCGATGATGATGCTGATGAGATCGAGAGCGATGATGAAGACGATGATGCTATAACTATTGAAGAGAATCATGGACCGTTAGTGATAAAAATTGCTTGGATTAGTGGAACATGTCGTGAAGCAGCTAATCAGATATTATTTTATTTGAAGAATCGTTTAAAATGAATGAATGAATAATAACCTGATCGCATAATATACTAACTATCTCACCTTACCTTACTCTACCTTATCTTACTGAACCACACCAACAGATTTGTAGTGTCTCGTCTTTTGTAAATATTAAAAAAAAACAGACTTTATTGTATCTTTATTGCATCATTGTCTACTACTTACTGCATTTTTTGATGATTGTTCTTGTTATTTTTATTTTTTTGTACTACTGAAATAAATTAAGTTCCCTTTTTTGCCTCTTCTATCATTATTATTGTTCCCTTGGAACATAGGGCTTCAACTGCACGTCTCCACTTGCCACTTCTGTCTTCTGTTGTACTTTTCACCTGCATCCATGTTAGTCCATACTCTTTCAACTCCTCTTCACATGATCTCCTCCATGTCACCCTTGCACTGACGTCCCACTCGCTGTGTGCTTCCCTTTCGGCCTGGTTCCACTCGAGCAATGACCTGACCCGCGCACGATGTCACCCAGTGGCGGCCTCCTCAGCGAGTGTCCAATCCATCTCCACTTTCTCATGCATATTTGTTGGTTGGAGATTGGTTCTTATTTTGTTTGTTCCCAGCCATAGTTTCTTGTTGGTGATTCTTTCCGGCCCGGCCATCTGATCTTCAGTATAGAGCCAGCGAAGACAGTTGTTGATAAAGGTCTGCAACAGGCTGTTGGAAATATTCTTTGTCACCCGCCTGCCAAGTTTCTGATCCGTATAGAAGAACTGATTTGACGTTTGTATTGAAAATCCAACTGAATTTTGTTGTTGATGCTGGCTGAGTGACGAAGATTTCCAGATTGGTTTCAGTTGGTTGATGAATGTGTTTCTCGCCTTCCCGATTCTCGCTCGATTTAACATCCTCGTTCGTTCCTCCTGTAGTTGAGACAATGCTCCCTAGATCAGTGAGTTAATGAAGTAACCTCTTTCGAATCCCTCCCGTTGATGGTGATTGGTGCTGGATGTTGCTGCTGTTGATTGGTTATTTCCATCACCTCCGTCTTGTCTATGTTCACTTGGAGTCCTGTCTTCGCCGGCTGCTTCTTTGACCAGTTTGTCGGTTTTCACTTGTAAGTCTTCGATTTTGTGTGACATCAACCATAAATCATCCACGTGCGAAATCCAGGTCTTCTAGGTTCTTCGCGTCGGTCCAGGATATTCCTGTCTCCTCGTTTCCCACTGTCTGACGCATAATCTAGTCCACCACAATTAGGAATATCATTGGTGATAGTAAGCACCCTTGTCTGACTCCTGTGTTTACTCCAAACGCCTTGCTGAGTTTTCCGTTGTGGATGACTTGACATGTGCCGTTGTCGTACAGCTGTTGAATAAGGTTGATGAATGTTTGGGGTACGCCACAGTACTCGAGTAGTTTCCAAATTACTTCGCGGTCAACGCTGTCTGTTGAAGGCCTTCTCGAAGTCTATAAAGTTGAAGTGCAGGTTTGATTGCCATTCCTCTTCTATCTAACGCAGAAATGGTATCTTGTCATGTGCAATTCTTGTCATTAACATCAGTTGGAGAACCACTGTAGACTGGAAAGTATTAGACAGCTGTTTCATCCCTGTTTGTGGAAGGCATGAAAAGGTCGGCTAGCTGTTTTTGATCATAGGTAGGTGCCTGCGTTCTATCTCCCGTGTTAGGTGGTATAATCGGCATCAGTCGAGTGTTAGGTAAGGAGAGGAAATCAATTGGCGGGGCTGTGAAGTTTCGTCGATTGAGATAGTTAGGACATGTGTTACATATGCCTAGGCATGGCCTTCCTCGATGGGAAGTGTTAGCCATTGACATAGGATCGATCAGGTTGGAAAAAAGTTAGTAGTGATCAAACCAAAACACGGCATCATCAGTCAGTGAAATCCCCAACAGTTAGTTTAAACCAACCAGCCACACAGGGAGGTGTAGACTTCCTGGTTGTGGTCCTCGGGCTGGTAAAAACAAATGGCTGGAGGGAATCGGTTATATGACTCAAAATCGTTCTCAATGGCTGGCGTAGATGCATCCACTTCTTGTGACTTATAATATCCAATACAATTATATAGTTCCTCATATTACTATTCTTTAGCTTCATATTCCTGTTAACTGTCTTCATTTCGCACTTTTCACTCTCTTCTCTGGCTTTGTATGCTAAGTGAAGTGTGGTGACTCGAACTGTTGCACATTTGTGCCAAGTTCTACGCTGAAACCGGTCAGTCGGTCATCTTTGTTTGGGACAAATTCTTCAGCAGTACGCACCCCATGACGCCACTATTCGTTAGGCATCTAACCCAAGAGCTAGTTGACTATTCAGTCAGCCACTTGAGATAGAATCCAATGGCCAATGAACTCTTACTTGTGTATATTCACGATGTGAGCGCAACCAGCGGCCTATGTCATCAGTGGGTATTTGTCTTCATACCCTACCTGGAGAGGACTCCCACTGGTCATGTCATCTCAATAGGACTCCAGACAACTTGGTCCTGTAGCTAGTCCACTAGTGAGCATCGGGTTAATTTTACAAGAGTTAGTTCGTTAGGGTATTACTAGTTACAAGTTTGATATCAGTTAGAGAACTATTGAAAAACAGGGAGTACTGGACAACTGTTTCGTTCTAGTTTGGGACTGATTTTCTACGACCTTTCGATTACATGGTGAGCTCGTAGATCATTCGGCGAAACCGAAGTCATTTGAGAGGTATATACATTCTTGACGAAATCACACCATATATGGTGCGTAATGTTCAAGTTAGGCGTAGAGTGGCAGTTAGGTAAGGAGATCAAGTCGACCGATATGGTTGGTTATGAAGCAACAAACACAGCATAGCCTTCTTCTCCTTTGAGGAAGATATGTCATCAGTCCATAAAGTCCTTGCCTGTTGGTTTGAGTGATGTAGGGAGGTGTAGGCTGTCTGTCTGATAGGGGTTCCTTGATACGCTAAGAACATTCAACTAGAGACTGTTGCTAACATGGTCCAAAATTATTCTCAATGATGCATATACATTCACTCTTAGTGATCTCTGAAATGCATTGACCTTGCATTATTCTTTCTACTCTATTAAGCAGTAAATCATTCCTTTCACATATGTAGGCAGGTAGCATGAATGAATATGTCAGTGCCAGCCAGGATCAGAAGAGGAAGACAGACCTTCATTACTGTGAAATCGGTGCAGAAATCTGCTGCACTCAGCATTAAAAAAGAACAAGATTTGAATTTTCAGTTCTTCTGTATTGCCTACAGGCTTGGCGCGTTACAAAAATACACTTATAACAGGTTGCTGAAAATTTATCAACAACTGTCTTCGCCTGCTGGATGCTGAATATCAGTTGGGCAGACAGGGTTAGCAACATGAGACTTAGGCGAAGAAGTTTCCAAGACGTTGTTCCCTAATAAATGCAGAGGGATTTGACACAACGCGTGGAGGGACATCACGCACCGAGGAGTTCCTCGACTGGAACCTCTGGAGGAAACGACGAGTTAGGCGAAGGAGGTCGTGTGAGGAGGAGGCCGGAGATTATGTGAAGTCGTGGAACCAGCTAAAGGGGACTGCAGAAAACAGGATAAAACGGAGGTATACTATTTAAGTTCTTTATTCCAGCAGGAACCCAAGGGAATAATAATAACGTACATCTAAACTCATTTTTCATGGGAAAAAACAAAGGATATACGTTGTCCTGTAAATTCTCACGACATCTGGACGATAGTGTTGCATATAACTATGGTTATCAATTCACATGTATGTGTGGTTACATGTACATAGAGAGGACCTATCTATCTACACAGGACAGGGCTATAAAACACATTCCTATCTAAGTGTCGGCAGGAATAAACATTGTTTGATGTAATTAATCCTTGAAATAGATTTCTAACGTTATTTCTGTCAAAGCACTTCATAAAGTAGCTTTTAACAGCGGCTTTAAATCTTTCTTTCTTTCTTTCTCTCTCTCTCTCTCTATATATATATATATATATATATATATAGAGAGAGAGAGAGAGAGAGAGCTGTCCTCTTCAGGTGGGTCCACGGTTGCTCATAATCCCTCGTCTCCTCCACACGATCTCCACCATGTTACCCTTGCACTGACGAATCACTCACCGCAGCTTCCTATTGGGATTCCCACTCAAGCGATGGTCTGTATTGCGCGCAATGTCATTCGATGGCCTTTTCAGTAAATGCCCAATCCATCTTCTACATATTTGTTGAGCAATGGGCTGTTGGTTTGTGTCCACACGGAGTTTCATGTTGCTAATTCTTTCTGGCCAGCCAGTCATTTGATCTTCAGTATGGAGCCAGTCAGCGAAGGGGGCAGCTGTTGATGGAAGTCTGCAATGGTTCATTGGAAATCCTTTCTGTGACACTCGCGTCAGGTTTCTGGCCCGTATAGAAGAAATGACTGACTGACTACAAATTTGTGTTGCAAATCAGAATCTTTTTTATGCTGAGTGCAGAATTGTCCAAGAATTATTGTCTGTCTGTCTGTTTTCGACATAGAACTTTGCACCGATGTGCGGCAGTTCAAGTCGTCACACTCCATGTAGCACACAAAGCAAGAGAAGAAATGCATAACAGGGGCAGCGAACTGAGATGTAAGACTTTGAAGCTGTCTTGGTAATCCAATTTTAATTCCCGTTTTTCCCACCCTCTTTTTTGTGATCATGATTCTTAAAATCTTCGACCTATAATGATAAAAATTGCGATTCTCTATGCTTTGTCACCTTTTTTATATGAATATTATTATTACAATTATGTGTGTGGCCGGAATATCCTAAATGTGTTACACAATACCCGTTCAACCAGTAGAGAAATCTAACAATATATAAGTTAGTCTGTGGTCACCACGCGCCTTTATTATTTGACAACTTTGCCACTCTCTTACTGTAGGTGGGGGAGGGGGACGGTGCAACATATACCTGGATGACTGAACACCTCGGTAAGGAGATGGAGTTAGGAAACTCACATTTAGTGTCATCACTAGGCCAAACCATAAGTGCAAGTGTGGTTTTGGCTTTCAACTTCCAATCAGTGCGCTAGCCCCTACATACACCCAAACAGTAGGTGTAACTCATTCCCAGCTGTGTAGAATTATCAGTGGTTGTATAACAGCAGAACAAAGAAGTGTCCATTCACATAATTATTTATTGGTAGCTCAATGTACAGTTATAGGCAAAGCACGTCAACCACCTGAATAGTCAACAGACTAATTCAGTAAGTAAACATCGTCTAATGTAGCCTACTGTCATTCTGTATACCTCGGAGCTAGTGAATAACGCTTTGACGTTTAAAACAATGGATTTTGCGTTCAATTCTCAGTTGAGACGTGACCACTCACTGGAGGATGGATGCAGATACATCGACTTGTGAACACAGCGAAATATGACGGAATGTGTATGCCCTGGAGGATCCCACTGATAGGCAGTACACTACCTCCCAATCTGTTATCATTATTCCCTTGGCTTCCGAGTAAAACATAGAGCTTCAATAGCACATGTCCATTTCATCCTGTTTTCTGCAGTCCTACTACACGATTGCAAATATGCACTCATTTCCTCGTCACACGATCTCTCTCTCTCTCGTCAATGTCATCCCCGGACATCCGACTCACCCATTCCCATTTGGACTCCACTCGGCAGGCTGGCTGGTGTGGAGTACCACTTCATGGTCTTCTCAAAAAGTTTCCGGCTTATTTCCATTTCCTTCCCCATATTTGTTGGGGAATAACTTCTTGGTTGGTTCGTTGCTCGTCAGAGTTCCTTGTTGATAATCCATTCTAGCCACGTGATCTTCGATATGAAGTGAAGGCATCTGTCGATAAGAGTCTAAAGCGTGTTGGGAGTACTTCAAGTAACGCGTCATCTCTAAGCTATATAGTAGCGCCATCTGACTTGACATTATTACTGCAGGAGATATCAGGTTTATGAAGGTCTGTCTTGCTTTTATGATCTAGCCTGCTTTTGACATCATCTCTGGCACCTGTAGTTGAACCGACGCTGTCTAGATAGATGAAACAGGTGATCGCCTTCAAATTTCTCTCATTGATGGTAATTAGTGGTTTTTATTGGTTAGACATCTTCATTGCTTCTTTATTCCCTGTATTGATTTGATGTCCTGTCTTTGTTGCTTCTTCTTTTTCGCCTGTAGAGCTTCGAGTTTGCGTCATGTTAGACATAAATCGTTCTAGAAGTTCATATCTTCTAGAGTCTTCTTCTTATCAGTCCAACGTGTTCCCACTTTCTCGCAACTCACAGTCTGCTGTATGATTCAGTATACGACGATCAGAAATTTCCTAAGTCTAATTCCTTTCTTCACTTCAAAGTATTTCCTGAGCTTTCTGTTGTGAATCACTTGATATGTTTATCTTGTTTCTTTCGTCTTCCAAGTCGAGTATAGGGCTTAAACTTACAATGATTCAATAGCATTGTTTTCATTTTCACGGGGTAAAGTTGTAAGCCTATCGCTCAATCTTCCCTCTTTAGTTGGTTTGCTAACCAACTAAGCGAGGTTTAGGAGTGTGCCGACTAGGAGATCGAATTCTAAACCGCATACATGTTTGGTGAGCATTCTATCTCCTGGTATGGTCATCTGTTAATAAAGATTCAGGGCATTGTATTTGTAGTATTCAGGCAGTTTCCACAGCGCTTCACACCACCCGAAAAATGAAAAGACCTTATCTCCAAATCTTTCTTCAAACATCGTCGAAAATGTTCACTACACTAGGACCGCCAACTAGGCAACAACAACAACAGGCAACGAACATCGTGCTTGAAAACATCTCCCACTATGGTTAAAGCAAAAGGTGCGGTGAAAACCATTAACAGTTCGATATTGGTCCACAAAGCCAGCCAGCGTGTAAGAATCCTTCTCTATCATCATCCACCGGGTGTGCCTAATAAATTGCAAAAATCATCCAAGCACCGCATGCTCCAAACAGCAGAGGCTATTGAAATTCACCTCAAGCAACCAGTGCTCTGTGTTCAAAAGAAGCAAGTCCAGCCAGCTACTACTGCCCTGGTCAGCTTTCAGTAGAGACTATAAATTCATGAATTTGTAATATTATCTTTTCTAATTTGCCTGTCTGACATTCAGCTTATTTTATGTTGATGCTATTCAGTTGTAATCTATCAATATTATTGATTTGATGTTATTTGAACAGTAACAATAATGTTGTTCATAACACTAATTCATTCATTCATTATAATGTATATATAACTGTAGAGCCTGATGATGAAGAGGTTATCGAAAAGAGTACTCTTTGTTCAGTATTCATTCTTTTGACAATATACATATGTTTATTTATTCAAAAGCAAATATCATTCCCAGACGGCAGTAAAATCAGAGGGTTCACTTTGGCCCTCAAGTCAACAGGAATAACAATTATTATGATGATATTAATAATCATAAAATCGATCATATGAAACTCAAAAAAAAACGCAAAACAAAACAAATAAAGAAGATATTTCCTCTCTTTTTTTCAATCATAAAACTACTGATTAAGAGGGAACTTGTCAGTATAAAAGTAATAGAGAAACCAGACGGCAATAACCAGGATTGGATCGGTGGTGTAAAGATGGGGGGGGGGGTTAAAGGATCCACTCTTTGGGCGTCGGGGCATGTATGAGTGTGTGTGTGCATAGGGCGAAGTGTGTCCCAAATATTAAAAAAAAACAAAAAGGACAATTCATTATTTAACAGGGAATGAAACAGGAGAGTAAAACAAATTTAGTTAGTTAAAGGTTTCAAGGGATAAAAGTAAACAATCACAAGGTGTTTTCGTGCATAGCAAACACACACCAGCTGCGTATGTGTGTTAGGGGAGTTAGAATAATGTAGATCAAACAACCAAAACAAAATGTAACATCTGACATAATAGCAATAATAATAATTACAGCACTCTTGTAGTTGAGATCAACTACTACCTGAGGAGGACGATGAATTTATTCATTTATATAAACGTGATTGACCAACCGCCGCATTTATAACCACCATTCATCAATGAATTAGGTGGGGAGAGACGATAAGGGAGGTGTATATTTATTTGTTTTGTTCTTTGCCGATCACACATACATACTCACTATCCGGCATCCCTCACCCCGACCCCCGTCAATAATACAAATATCAGTAGTAGGAATTATATATTACAAGGAAAAGGATGAAGGAACACAAAGTTAGTTGTAAGAATAGGATGATGATGATTACAAAACGGAGAGGTAATAAAATATGTATATATTCAATTTTCAAAGACAAAATCAATAATCGATCACAATCATGATGATCTCTTGCCTTGTCTACTTCTTCTACTTCACCCCTTTTTGGTGCATATTTATGGTAATCTTAAAAAGATTGCAGCTAATTTACTCCAGTCTATATCATCTGGTGATTGAATTCGATGTTTTGTTTGAATAAATTGTAACAATAATTGATCGATTAATTGATCCAACATTGATTTTGCTAAAAGAAGAAGAGAAAGTGCAGGAGTAGTAGGAGGAGGAGACAATAAAAATAACAACAACAATGAAAAAGAACGGAGATGAAAAGATAAATTGAAAAGAAGAACACCACTGATAAACAATAATTTGAGTAAACACTCTTTTATTTTATTAATCTTTTCCGATAAGCATATTGATTTCTGTGTGTGTGTGTGTGAGTGGGGGAGTGTTATTATTAGAAGTGAAACATGTTAACAGACATGGGATTAGGTTGGAAAAGAATTAGAGAGATGATCGAGATATTATTTGACATCAATCCATTGACATCTTTGAAAGCTAGTTTGAGCCAGTCACATAGTGAGGTGTGCAAACTACCTAGTTGGGGTGGGGTCCTTGGAACGCAAAGAACCAATGAAGGCTGGAGACAACTCGTGATATAGCTTAAAATCGTCTCGAATGGCTTAGATGCATTCACCCTTTGCGGTCTCCTTTACATCCATTAAATCCTGGTGTTCTTCCATGTTACTATTCTTTCTCCCTCACATTTGTCTACCTTTGTGTACTGCATGAAATGTGGCAATTCTAACTGTTGCACTTATATACAAAGTTCTATGTTTAAACTCGGCCAGTCAGCTAAATACCTGTTGAAATAATAGAGAAAATCTCTGGCACAATGGCATGATTTTGTTTCCCATGTGGTTACTCTTTCTGAACTCAGAAGCCTTCGTTTTCCTCCTAGACAAAATATTTATTGCAAACTTTTTAACATGAAGTGAACTTATTTGAATTCTTCACAAATTATATATATATATATATATATATATATATATATATATGTCGCCCTTTGACGACCTTGTTTGTGATTGGCTATTACTTTGCATTAGTATTTATTGACCGTTTTTATCGATTTGGAGAATTCCACTACTTTTATTTTGTCGCTTCGCTTATACTTTTTTTAGTGCATAAATTTGATTTAGATTATTGGCTATTGGTCTAGGAAATTAGCTTTTCGTTCTCAGGATCACCTATCAGTGCGGCTAAATTAAAGGTGCAAAGCCTCCATTCCATCAAGGTAGACACACACACACACAAACACACTCCTACTGAAAGATGATTTAAGCGGGAAACACACAATTGAAGCACACACTCAAATAACTTACTTCCATCTGAAGATGTTTTGTTTCCATTAACAAAAACAATATATTACAGACAGAGAAAAATCAGCACTATGAGATAAAAATAAAGATTTTAAGCAATTGTCTCTTATTGACTGGTAGACGTACATGTATACTCCTAGTCAATCAAAATCATTTGCATTAGAGGCAAAAAGTAAATTATTACTTTTAATATACATCTCATGAAGAACCAACACATCAGTTAGCGAGTAGTGGATAGCTGTTTCGTTCGAGCTTGATACTCTTTAACAATCTTCATCGCATTAACAGGCTACTGGATGAATGTCTTGAAGATGTACTGAGAGCTCGTGGTACACATGTCAAGGTGAAGTGGATGCCCCTTGAAGCCAATTTGTTAGCAGTAGTGCTAGAATTCATGGACCAGTGGATGAATTATCAACAAGCTTGGTCCCAGATACTATCTCCAGTGGTGGGGTTATGGGTTCGCGCTGCTGAGGAGTTAGTCAAAAACTAGGACGAGACGTTTTTCCAGTGCTCCTGATTGGTTTTTGATGATCTCTCTGACTGATGTTGGCTTGCAGGGAATGGATAGGTTACACGACTGAATGCGAGCTGACATCTGTTAGAGAACCACTGATTATCCCCATATACAAGAAGGGAGACAAGTCTTCCTGTGATAATCACAGAGGGATTAGCTTGACTAATATAGTATCTAAAGTCTTAGGCTCAATAATCATGCGTAGACTAAGTGGTGCTCGGGAGGAACAAACACGAGAGAGCCAGGCAGGCTTTAGACCAGGAAGAGGGTGTATTGATCATATCTTCACCCTCCGACAGATTCTAGAACACAGGCATTCCTACCGGCGTCCAACAGTCATTATATTTCTTGACCTAAAGGCAGCATTCGACTCTGTCGATCGAGAAGTTCTCTGGAGATGCTTGGCTGTAAAGGGAATTCCGAGAAATTCCGAAATATATTGCACTGATTAAGGCACTCTACTCGTACTCATACAGCCAGGTGAGGGCTTACGGCGAGCTGTCATCTGAACTGGTGACGACCAGTGGTGTCCGTCAAGGATGCCCATTATCTCCTTTTCTATTCAACTTCATCATAGATGTGTTAATGGACTTAACCCTAGGTGACTTCAGCGATTCAGGGATTGACTTGCTACCTGGGAATAATCTTATTGACTTAGAATATGCAGATGATATAGTCCTTATAGGCGAGGACGCTGACGAAATGCAGAGTCTTCTAAACACCTTGAGCCGCAATCTACGAATGTTTGGCATGCGATTCGCTCCCGCCAAATGCAAGATGATGTTACAGGACTGGACTACATCGACGCCTAGTTTAAAAATAGGAAGTGAAGTGGTAGAGCACGTTGACCGCTTCACTTATTTGGGAAGTACCATCAGCCCCAACGGGCTGATCTCTGACGAAATCTCAGCACGAATACAAGGGGCTCGTTTCGCATTTTCCAGTTTACGCCGACTCTGGCGTAGACGAGATGTTCGACTATCGACCAAAGGGCGGGTGTACTGCTCATCAGTCCGCTCCGTCCTCCTTTATGGCAGGCTGTGAGACCTGGCCACTGAGAGTGGAAGACATGAAAAGACTAGCTGTCTTTGATCATAGGTGCCTGCGTTCTATTTCCCGTGTAAAGTGGCATAATAAGGTGAGCAACATTGAGGTTAGGCGTAGAGTTCTAGGTAAACAGGGAGCACTGGACAGCTGTTTCGTCGTAGCTTCGGACTGAATCTTCATCAGTACACACTCAATGGGATTCGAACCCGGGACCTTCGGGCCACAAGGCGAGCTCGTAGACCATTCAGCCACTACGACCCTATCCAATGGTCTATGAATCCCAATTTCTGCCAACTGGTTTCATAGGCGAATGACTGCCATCTTGGAATTAATCCAAATCCCTTCCGAAAAGAATCATAATCAAAATGAGTAATTATTTGAATCTATCTATTTAGTCTGTTGAATTCCATATTAGTTTGTTTATTAGATATATAACACAGTGAAACAGTATTATTTACTGGATGACGTGGTTTCGAACAAAATTTATTGTTCATAATCATATCAACTGTAATCACACGACTTTGAAACTTGAGTTTTATAGTTTTCTTTGTTCTCTCCTATTTCTCATCGTTGGGGTAGTAGAATTTTCAAGATATCAGGGATAGGTGATGAATCATTCCTATTACACGCATTCACTCTCAGTTGATTCGATAAACAAAGCTTCCGTTGTTATCATTCTCTCCCTCCACCCTCAATCTCTCTCTCTCATCCTACTGTTTGAAACGTCATCTGGTCAATAATACTATTTCACTGTGTGATATATCTAATAAACAAACTAATGTGGAATTATTTAGTACCACAGTGCCTAAGTTTAACACACATACTAATAGTCTGTTGAAACCTTACATATTAACTGCAGTCTTTCCCACCCCCACCCTATCCCTGAAGTTTGCACAATTCACCTTTCAATAACAGAAACAAGGAACACACTTGATTTACTCAGTAGGACACTAAACTACACAAAACGCAAGTATTAACATACTTCTCATTCATTAAATTTACTTCTCTCTTTACTAAAGACGGGAAGCATCAAAATAGACTTTCGCCGATTACATTCTCAACTGCTGTATGCATTTTGTTAGTCTAAGGATCAGCGTGGTTAGAATTATTCTTCATAAGTGACCATTTTCAGTGTGTATGTGAGTGTTTTTGTGTATATCAGTTTGTATATGCTCCCATATAGCTAGTTATATAGGTCGTACACAAACTACAAAGATGTTACATAAGCTGACTGTTAAGAGGAGGAGTTCGTTCAATCAGAAGTGCTATAATCGAACAAAATACAGAGTTTATTGAACATCTCGAACAGAAATCTTATCATGTTTCACGTGTGATTTACCCCCCTGTCAAATGTAAAATTGGTCTGCACTGACTCCTAGTTTATAGATAGGGAGTGAAGTGATTGGGTGTTGCATCAGCCATGATAGAATGATTGCTGTTGAAATTTCAGCAATACCGATATTCAAGAAGGGAAACAAGTCCTCAGGGGGATCAGCCTAACGAACATAGTCTCTAAAATCCTAGGCTCAGTAATCATGCATAGACTAAGCAGAACTCGGGAGGAACAGACAAGGGAAAATCAAGCAGGCTTTAGACCAGGTAGAGGGTGCATAGATCATATCTTCACTCTTCGACAGATTCTAGAACATAGACACACTTTTCGGCGTCCAACAATTGTCATATTTCTTGACTTGAAGGCGGCCTTCGACTCCGTGGATCGAAAGGTACTATGGCAATGTCTGACTGTGAAGGGAGTGCCAAGAAAGTACATTGCACTAATCAAGGCACTCTATTCAAACTCACGTAGTCGTGTAAGGGCTTATGGGGAATTGTCATCTGAATTGGTAACAACCAGTGGTGTCCGACAGGGATGTCCACTTTCCCCATTTCTGTTTAACTTCATCATAGATATGCTGATGGAAGTATCCTTAACTGAACGTAATGACTTAGGAATCGACTTGTTACCAGGGAATAGTCTTATGGACTTAGAATATGCAGATGACATAGTCCTGTTAGGGGAGGATGCTGACAAAATGCAGAGTCTTCTGAACACCTTGAGCAGCAATCTTCGTATGTTTGGCATGCGATTCGCCCCTGCAAAATGTAAGATGCTGCTACAGGACTGGACCACGTCAACTCCTAACTTAGTGATAGGGAGTGAAGTGATAGAACATGTTGACCACTTCACCTATTTGGGAAGTTGTATTAGCACCAACGGACTGATTGGCGATGAAATCTCAGCACGGATCCGAAAAGCTCGAGCTGCTTTCGCTGACTTACACCATCTCTGGCGTAGGCGTG